AGAATAGGTAAGAGATATTAGTAATAAAAGAAGAGCAATAAGTCACTGATACCCTGGAGTATACAGCTTACCAGTTTCTCAGCTCATGATCATAGAGAGGGGCTGCTATTGTTGCTCATGGACAAAGAGAGATCATCCTGGTTTTAAAAATTGGAAATCATTTTGCATAGAACTGCTGCTCTAAGTTAAGAATGGGTTATCTGAATACATGCTTTTGGTTTTGTGTCAAAGACTGTTAGAGCATGCAGGAACCTTGGATATTACCTATTCAGGTTCATTTCCAATTACAGAATTTTTCGGCACTTGGCAAAACCCAAAACTAAAATCCAGATCTCCATTCTCCTGAACTGATGTATAGCTGTATTCATACACTGTACCTAACATAATGCTGTCAGCTTTTCATTCATCCTTCTTGGTAAATTTCGGAATGTAACTAATAATTTCCAATTTTGTTTCTATGAAAAATGATTCTAAGTGTTAGACATCTAATAGTTTTGCCCAAATTACAATCCATTTGAAATGCAGAGACTATAAATTTTTTTTAAAGAATATCTTAGTTTCCCTTTTAAAACAGTATTAAACTGTTACAGTGTCATTATTAAGGTTCTTGAACTCAGATTTTGACATCTTATTCTAATAAAGATTTGAAGTGTGTACAAGTTAAGAGAAGGATTGGATTATCTATAAATCTACAGAAATATATTTGTTTTAGTTGAAAGATAGAAAGTAACAATAACATTCCAATACTGTGTTTAATCAGCCTTCATACCATCTAATTATATGTGGCTTGTGGTCTCAAAAGTTCTCTGGTAGTTATCTGCTATTCATTCTGTTTCTGTCTTCTTTAAACAGGGCTAAAAGTGTTAAAATATAACATGCCATACAATTCACCCATTAAAAGTAAATAATTCTGTGGTTTTGGGTATTTACACATAGTTATATAACCATTGCCCCAGTCAGTTTTATCACATTAGGACATTTTTATCACTCCAAAGAGAAATCCCATATCCATTATCAATCATTCTTTAATTTCCCCAATCTTTCCCAATCTCCACCACCAGCTCTAGGTAATCAGCAGTCTACTTTCTGTCTCTGTAGATTTGCCTCTTCTGGTATTTCATATAAATGGAGTTACAATATATCGGCCGTTGAGACTGACATCTTTTCACTCAGCATAATGTTTTGAGGTTCCTTATTTTTAACTGCCAAATAATATTCCATTGTAAAGATATCTGTTCATCAGCTGGTGGATGTTTGGATTGCTTCCACCTTTTGTCCATTACTAGTACTATTGCCATGGACACCTGTGTGTGGATGGACAATTGTGTGGATGCACGTTTTCCTTATTGTTGGGTGTATGTACCCAGGAGTGGAATTGCTAGGTCATATGGCAACTCCATGTGTCTCACCTATTTACATAGTAAAGCACCTATTTACGTAGCACTTACATTGCACTTAATATCACAGTAACATAGGGATGATATAAAGTATATGAGAGGACCTGGGAGTGGTGGCAACCACCGGTAATCCCAGTAGCCAGGAGGGTGAGACAGAAGGATTGCCGAGAGTTCAAGGCCAGCCTGAATTACAGAGTGAGACCTTGTCTCAAAAAACCTAAAAAACATAAATAAAAATGGGTTAAACTATGTGAGAGGATTGCCTAGTTTGCATGCAAATACTGCACCATTTTATATAGAGAATTTGAGCATGTGAGGATTTTTGTACCCATGCAGGATCCTGGCACCAACTCCCCAAAGACATTGAAAGATGGTTTTGTGTGTGTATACACACATATTTTTCTGAGAGGGCTTTTTTTGGCCCATCTTTCAGTTACTTTGTCTCCTTTTGGGTTGTAAGAGCTATTATATGTGCCATACAAACTTCCTATCAGATAAATGAGTTATAAACATTTTTTTCCCATTCTGTGGGTTGCTCTTTCATTTTCCTGAGTGTCCTTGTTTTACTTTCAGTGAAACTATTCATTCTCATTCCTTAAGCCTGTATTTATTAAGTACTGCTTATGCTGGACATGGTGCCAGTGCTGGGAATTTAGCTGTGCAATCTTGAGTTTTATTTCACATTTGGTTCTTTAATTCCTCTTTCTTAACTGGTGAATGCATACTTTACTGGGGTGCTGGGTCATGGGCTCACTGAGATACTACTCTTTGTTTTATGTGAAATAGGGGTAAAAATGCTGATCCAAGACAGATGGAAATGTTTTTAGGACTAATCATAATGCATTCAATTAATAAGTTATGCAACAGCTAGCTCTGCCTGTGTTTTGAGTTTTAAGGAGTTTATTTATAATTTACTGATGATAAATGGCTCCTAGCCCTTAAGTTACAGGAACAAAATCAGCAGCACTTTTACCCATAAAATTCTTGTGAATATTTCAGTTTTTGTATATCTTCCGCTTGTGAGGTTGAATGCATTTCATTGTGATCTAAGGGGAGCTGACTACAGTGACATATTAGAATTTTAAAAAATGTAATCTAGTGATTGAAAGTTTGACAAAGGCATTGTTTAATAAGGCAGATATACAAAATAAAATTGTTGATAAAACTGTGCTCATTGAGATAATTGTCTTTTTCCTCAGGTAAAAGATGCCTGCTTTCTGCAGCCTATGTGGACAACCACAAATGGGAAGCAAGAGAAAAAGAAAAATGTCACCTTGGTAGGTGCCCACGTGTCGGGCTATTCCGTGTGTTGTTGGCAGTCTCTCCATGTGTCCACTGTCATATCTTCATATGGTGTATGTTGAAATGATGCTTTCTCTTATGATTCAATTCAGATAAGCACATTTTAATTCTTAAAAATAATTAAAATTTGACATGGCCAAATCATTTTTACTATTTTTTTTTACAATTTTAATATTTCATTCTTGAAAAGATTTTTTTTGGCTTGCTTTATTTTGTTGTGTGTGTTTGGTGTTTGTTTGTTTGTTTGTTTGTTTGAGAAAGGGTCTCACTATGTAGCCCACCCTGGCCTAGAACTTCTGTGATTCCCTTGCCTCAGCCTTCCCAGTGCTGGGACTACAGCTGTGTGGCACCATGTCCAGCTCTCTTGCTTATTTTTTCTCCTTTTAAAAATGTATTTTTTTGGTAGTATGTCCCAGAGATTAAACCCAGAGCCTTGGACCTGAGCTACATCCCCAGCCCTTTAGAGACAGGGTCTTGCTAAATCACAGGTGCTGGGATTATAGGTGTGCACCATCACACCCAGCCCTTCTTGTCCCTTTTAATCTTACGGTTATCTACTCTTACTCTATAAAAGGAGTTTAAACTCCTCTTACAGGCTTCAGGCCCCTTTTTGACCCTTCTGTTTCATTAACAGGCAGTAGATTTGAAAGCAAAGTTGGAATTCAATGTAAACCTTTAGGAGTTTAGGTGTGAACATCTCCCCAGGCAACGAACTGTAGTTGTATTTCCCTTTCCCTCATTTCTGGTTTGTACACAGTTAGCAGCCTTTCTCCTAAGAGATACCAAAGGCATTGATCTCACTACTCTTTAAATAGGTACATACTTCACATGGGACATCGGCAAAGGGAATAATAGGCTGGTGATGAAGTTTTGAATGGATTGCAGTGCCAATCTGGGATTCTTCCCCAGACTCCTTCCACTGTGGTTCTTTGTTTTGGTTTTTGTCCCCTTAGTTTATAGATTCTTCCCATAAGTATGGAGGAAGCAGCTCCCTTACTAGGGTTTCAGAAGCATCAGTTTCCCCCAGTTGTGAGCTCTGGATTAGGCACAAGCAGGTGCCAGGCAAAGCAAGCTGTGCAGGATCTGAGGCTGAGAGATCACAGCCTCTCCGTGAGGAACTCGTGTTCTGATTCTCACTAGGAGAGACTCGGCATAACACTTTATAATACTCCTATTATCTTGAAATTAAATTTAAAGGTAAACCTATGGGGCACAGGAGGCTGAGGCAGGAGGACTGCGTTGAGTTCAAGACCAGCCTGGGCTGCATAGCGAGTTCAAGACCAGGCTGAACTACATAGCGAGACTCTGTCTCAAAAATTAATCAATCAGTAATTAAATTCAAAGGTAATGTAATCCACACATAATATTTAAAAATCTATACAGTTGCCATGATATTAAAAAGGGAAGTAACTTACACTAAATAATATGTATTTCAAAATATAAATAAGTGCTTTCGCAAAACTAGAGTAAAAAAAAAAAACAATGAAATAGCTAAGGCTTGCACTTAAGTGCAGAGTGACTGCAAGGGCAAGTCAGAGACTTGAGGGGTGCAGATGTGGTGCGCTGGGGAATCCCATATCAGAGCGGCGTTCTCAGTGCCACCGTTTTGTTTACAGAGTGAAGGGCCCTGGTACGATCAGGGCCGCGGGGTCCCCAGGGTCTGCACGGAGCGCCGCTGTCCGCGCTTGGAGGCCGAGTCCGCTCCTGGGTGGGGCGGTGCTGATGCTCCGGGGGGCGGGGGTGCACGGCCCTCGTCCACACCCCTAGGAGAGATCCATGAGACGAAGAGAGGGTGGAACCCAGACCACTTGGAAGAAGTTGAGAGGCTTTTGGAGACTATTTTTCCCGCAGTGCAGTAGAACGTCTCACTAAAACACACTCTTCGCTTCTCTGCGAGGAGACCCGTTGCTTTCCGGAGCAGAGGTCCCGCGCAGAGTGCTGGGGCTGCGCCGGTGGCTGCATCCCTCAACGTCGGCCGGTAGATGGCGCTGTGGCCCCTTCCGGGAACTCGGGCGCGGGCCTGCCGGGGCGTGCACGCGCAGGGCCGCGCTCGTCATGTGGAGCCCCGGGATTGGGCGCGGCGAGCTGGAGGACCGTGAGGTGTTCGGGGCCGGCTCGCGGATTGGAGGAGGGAGGAGGGCCGATATGAGGCTTTCGCTGCCGCGGTCTCCATTGGGCCGGAGGGGCGTGGGGGCGTGGCTCCCGTCTGCCGGCCGCCCGCTCAGTCGTCCGCCTCCTAAGAAAGCTGACCTGGCTGTGTGACCTGGTACCCTCGGAGGCTTTCCTAGCCCTGGCAGCGTGACCTTTCTTTTCTTTTCCCTTCTTTCACTTTTTATTGCCGCACAGTGCATGCTGGAATGTGCACACCTCGTAGTGATTGGTGAAATCCCACGGGGAGCCGACCGCGCTGCCCCAGAGGTCGCGGGGGCCCCCGGCCGCTCTTCTTTGCGGAAGTAGCCACTGACTGACCTCGAGCGCCGCGCTTGCTGCGCTGCTTCATCAGGGGGAATTGTGAGACTCGCACCGCGGAGGAGGTGACCTGAGGAGCCTTTGTGCGGCCCTCCGGGTCGAGCGCTCTCTCCCCAGGCCCGCGCCCTCTGACGCTCGGCCCTCGAGGCAAATCCCGGGCAGCAGACTGTTTCGCTGGAGAGCTTCATGCTTCTTTGTAAAAGATGAGGGCGGTTTTAAGTACCGTTACTGCACCTAAAATAGTCCTTTCCGTATGAAATACCACGGGTTTTCACATCCCTTTGAGATTGTCATAAATACGTATTTTTTTAATGGTTTGGTTGGACGGGGTCAGCTAAGGCCGGTGCGTGCAGTTCGTTTAATATGGTCCCGACCCTTCCCGTTCTTCGTTTTAAATGTTTACGTAGAAACAGTGTAAACCCGGGGTCCTACTGTCCGACGTCAGCAGTTCCCTGCGCGTTTCCACACCCCGCCAGATTACTTTTTAACAGAGCTCAATTATCAAATCGTTTTAGATGTATTTAGATGTACCTCTAAAAGAATTTTTAAAATAACTACAATACAGTCACATACCTAAAAATTAATAATTTAATATTAAGTAATTCCTCAGTCACTTTTATTGAAGTGAGGGCCAGAGAAGGGCATGTATTACCATGTGTTGAGATGCCTCTCTTTGTCTCTGTCTCCCTCTCTCAAAGCAGGTCTTTTGTGGTCTCTCACGTTCTAGATTTGCTGATTTCGTTCTTGTGGGGCTGGTTAACGTGTTCCTCTACTTTCCATATGTCCTGCATAAATGGTGGTTGAAGCAAAAGGCTTGATCAGATTCAGGCATCCCTCCCTCCTTCCCTTCCTTCCCGCCCTTCTGAGACAAGGTTTCCCTGTGCAGCCCAGGAAGGCCTCCAACTCCTGCCTCAGCCTCCTAGGTGCTGGGGTTACAGGCATGCACCAAAACTTCCAGCTAGATTCAGGAATCATTTTTTGGTGGTTTTTTCTTTTGGCATGACTGTGCTGTAGGAAATGTCAGGAAGCAACCCAACATTTGGCTGTCTGTCTGCATGTTAAAGATCATTTGTGATCATTGCCTGGCTCCATTATTTCATTAGGAACTGCAAGCTATTGCTGTTTTAATTGTCCTTTCTTTCTCATTCATTACCTAGAAAAAAATTTATAAGTAATTTTACCTTTAGCAGAATTTTACCTTTGTGAGGATTACCTTTTTGTAGTATTGTGTATATAGAAGAGGAAATTTTCATAATATCTTCCCAAGATGATCAATGGAATTTTTTTTTTAAATGTTATGAACTCTTCTATTTAAACTGTGCAGGTGAGTGTGGTGGTGCATGTCTATAATCCTAGGTATTCAGGAAGTTGAGGCAGGGGAATTCCAAATTCAAGGCCATTCTGGGGAATTTAGGAGATTCACAATAGACAGTTGAGGCATTTTAATACATTACAGTTGGTATTTTTGTTGATAGGGCCTTAGTTCTGAGCTGTGCTCTGCAGAGCCGTAGGAGTTCTAGGGCTTTCCTGCTTTGGTGGAAAGGTTTCAGGTTTTGGTGATTTCTGTACTGGGCTTCCCTTTGGATAAAGTAAACACTGAATTGAAGCTTTGTCTCTCAAATTCCTTCACTAACTCACAGATCAGCTGAAAGGTACCAGGCCAACGTTAACATTAACCAGTTAGTAGCGAGTATATTAGAGGATGGGGTGGGGGGGGCCAAGGACTGAGCTTGCGTGTACCACTAGTGCGCCAGGTAGGCCTTTGTGAGGGGACAGGCCTGTTAGGGAAAAGCTCACAGCTCCCTTGAGAGGAAGTTTGCTCGGGTCACCTGCTAGGGGGCAAGGGCCAGGTGACTTGTACTAAATTGGGTGCACGAGCCCTACTGGATTAAATATTTTATTTCTAATTATTCAGTTTATAAGTAATCACAAAGTAAGGTACACTTTTTGCTTTCAGTTACTATTATGCTTTATTTCTGTATTTTTGTTTTTGCTTTCAGTTACTATTCTGCTTTATTTCTGTATTTTTGTTTTGTTAACAGCTTCCTCCTTCAATCCAAAGAGTACTACACCATGGATATGTTTGAGTACTATCCCAGGTCTGTCTTTTATAGATGTTTCTCTCATTGTAGCTGAGATTTAGTTTTCTGTGTCATTTCATCTGTGGAGACTTGTGGCTTACAGTAATTTTCAAATACTGATTTTTGAGCCCTGATGGAGATTTTCTGAAATCTGCTTTCCTTTTTTTTAAGTGGAATTTTTATGAGTTCCATATTTGCCTCTCCATGTCGTTATTCATTTACTAGGTTTCATATTTACCATCTGCTGACAGTTCTAGAGATGAGTCTAATTTGTGCATGTTATCCTCATTATCTTAACATATATGTGTACGTAGCTTGCTTTCATGTGTGTCTTTTATTGGATCTATTTAAAGTTTCTGATGGAAAAACAAAATCTATATCCAAACTCGCTCCTAGGGATTCTCCTATATTTCTTTCTGTTACTGTTATGCATGGTATATGTGATCTGCCCTTGTTTTTCTTTTAAAATATAAGAAACAAAAACATAGTTTCAGCCCATTTCCCAAGATCACTTCTTCTAGGAAGGACAGTAATAACTGGCATCTATTTTTTATTCCATAAGTTAGATAAGATGCACATATGGCCTAGATTTCAGAAAAAGCCTAGTGTTGCCTCCCTGGGTAACAGTAGTATAGAAACAGTTTTGTAGAAATCATGAAAAATTAAAACTATTTCTCAGTAAAGCTAGTGGCCTCCAAGGGAGGATCCATCTTCAGTGACATAACTCCAGCTTTGACCTTGAGACCACCTCTTTTATAAGAGCCTTCTCTTCTGGCACGTCTGCACTGTAGCTTTCATGGTTACTAAGGAGATTTCCTATAGAAAGCCCTTCCCAGTCTTCCTTATGGCCCAGGAAGTTTGTATTTATAATCCATGTAAAGTCATTGAAATTCTATCAAGTTAATTCCAAGCCACCACTTCCAGTGCAACCCATGGCGAGAATAAAGACACTAAAGCATATGTATAGTTATGGGGAGCCAAGGGGTCTTAAGTCCAGCCATGATGATGGCTAATCAGAACAAAGGCCTATACCCAAGACTGAACCCAGATTTTATTCATTTATGAAGAAGGGAGTGGCTTGAAGATGGGTGACTGTGAGAGTGGCGGGAAATGCATGAGTGCCATGAGGTAGGCTAGGTAGGAGGTCTGAAATCACCTCTGCCATCTGCAGAGAGAAATATGCAGAAAGAGTAATCTGCATAACTCAATTGAGATAGTATCTAATGTTTTGGGGTCAGTGCTTCAGCTCTGATGTGTAATGTTTGAAGCCCCAGGAAATCATAGCCTCTATTCCCCATGCTCAATCCCAGCTGATAGCATGGAGCATTGGCTCATACATCCTGCATCATCCCGGCTCACTCATGGCAATAACAGGGGTCCTGGGAAACATGCCTGACATCTCCAAAGATTACCATCAGCACCTCAGGCTGGACCGATATGCATTGCTTAAAGCCAATTGAAGGGATAAGGAAAAGTCCTAGCCAGCTCTGTACATGTCAATACATGGAAACAGGGTCAGGCTCAGCCAAAATGGAAGCAATTGCTCCTCTTTCAAGAGAGTCACCTAGGTGGTCCTCCACAATTTCCATTTTGTTTCTGAGAATTTTATGTTCTGTGAAGCTATGGTGCTTTTAACCAACCTGACAATTATCTTCTAACTAGAAAATTCAATCTGTTTACATTGTTATTCCATGATTATTAATGTTTTGACTTATTTCCATCATATTTTATAATTAGTCTTTCTCTTTTGTTTTTTCTTAACCTTTTAAATTGAGTGGAGGTTTTTTTAGTTTTGGTGTTTGTTTTTACTTTTTTCCCACTCCACTTGTCTGGATTTTATAACTCTTTTAAGATTGCTGCCCTTCTGATATGTACTTTTAACTTAAATTCCAATGTTCATTGCACTCTGCTATCCTTTGGAACACACACATGCACGTGTACACTCATGCACATTGGACCAAATCCATCACCCCACACCTACCCCATTTGGCCAATTTAATTTACTCAGCACTCTGGCATCTCAGGTCTTCTTTAAAGGATCATTTTATTTCTTCTATCCTCTAAAAACACAGCTTCTAAAAAATTGCCTTTTAGTATTTGTTGCTAATGAGTTCTGAGTTTTTGTCAAAAAAGTCTTAATTTTGCCATTTTTCTCCAAAGATGGTTTTGCTAGATGTTATGGTACCAAGTTAATTCATTTTACTTTCAACATTTTGCCCATCTTATTCTATTTTCTGTCTTCCTTTATTCCTATTGAGAAAACATCTGTTGGTGCAGTTGTCTTTGTTTTTTCCTTTCTAAATAATTTTCTGACCATTCTTGGGACCCCCTCATTTTTTTAGTTTCACAATAACATATCCTGATGGGTTTAATTTTAGTTGTTGACTTGAGATGAATCTGGACACCTGTATCTTTTTTCAGTTTTAGAAAATTTCAGCCATTATCTCATCATAGATTATTTCTCCCAGCCTCCTTCCATACTTCTGCTGTAGATTTAATTAAATGCACCTTTGGCCTTCTTACCCTGTCTTCAGTAGCCCTCGAGTCTTTCCGCAGTCACATCTTGACCTTGGCTGCATCCTCTGTCATTTCTGTGGGATCTGCTCCTCCCTTCACTAGTCCTCACCTCACCGAGCTTGAACCTGCTCTTTAAAGTATTCATTTCTTTCTTAGAGCTTTGTTGAGGCTTTGTTTTCCTAAAGTGAACTAAACATAAAGTATACAATTTAAAATATGTTCATGAGCATAGGTGTGTCTGACCATGGAATCGTCGCCATAGTCGAGGTACTGAGAACTTCCATCACCCTCCAAAGATCTTTCCTCCTCCTTGGTAACCTGTCCTTCCTCCTTCTACTGCCCCACACCCGTGTCCTCGGGCACTTACTGATGAGTTTTGTCACTGTCCAGTAGTTGCCATTTTTACAATTTTTAAGAATATTACTTAGTAAAATTAAAAACAGTTCTTTTTTTCTTTGTGTGTATGTTTGGTTGTGTTGTTGTTGAGATAGGATCTCACTAGAAGGTCAGGCTGGACTGTAACTCACTGCTATCCTCTGCCTCTCTGGCTCTACCCAAGGAGCTCAGAACCACCTCCTCATTTTACAAAAGCCTTGATTTTACCCTCTGTCACCTCTAAGTCATTAAAACCTAAGCTCTCTGTCACTGGGGACCTGAGGTTCCCTTAGGGACTGAATCATTATCACTGCCTTCTCTCCCTGGGCTTCTGGAGAATTACACCTACCATCTTGAAAGTTCAGTCACATACTTGAAACATTGAAAAATTTTAGGTGTTTTACAGAAAAGGAATTTTTTTTTTTAAATATGTAGTTCATCTTATTCCAGAAATAGAATTTCTGCTCTTTTCTTTGAGCTTAGGAGCTGTTCAAAACCCTTGGCGTTCCTTGCCACCTTGGTAAACAGAAGGATGAGAGGTTGACAGGCCGCAGCGCTACAGTCTCCTGCAGTCAGAGCCTCCCTCCAGGTCAGAAGCCTAGGAGTGCCATGTTTTAAAACACCTTAGCCATTCAGATCCTCCACCAGGTTTACGTGCCTTTGCACTCCCATGCTTGTCAGGGTGCAAGTCCTCCATTAACAATAACATTATCTCTGTAGCATTAAAGGTTTTACTGAAACAAGCATTTAAGTTGTAGATCCATTATCCATGTAGTGCTGACTGCAGCGTGTGTTCCCAAGAAGCTGAGTAACCAGCGCATACCCTCATTGGCACATCCCTTTGAGCAGAACCTGAGCACCTGCTGGCTCCTCACCAAAACCTCAAGTGTGACTTTGACTGTGGAGCCCACGGTCCAGAAGCCTGTGGCGCTGGCCCTCTGCAGGCCGCAGCTGTCCCAGTGCCCCTGGCCCTCCCCTCTCCATGCAGTTTTCTACCTCATCCATCATGACAGCGTTGTGATTGGTCACACGGCATATTTAGCAGCAAACCTGCCTCTGACTTGCAGTATGCAAATGATACTCATCAGATGCAGGCTGTGCAGCTGTTGCCTGTTTTAAGCCTGGCCAAGTTTCACTTGACTGAAGAGGCCTCAGCATAGGGCTTCAGATGAGTCTTTGGTGACCACTCTAAGAAGTGATGGGTATAGCCATCTCAGTCCATGATCTGATTAGACTTTGTGTACTGTGTGGAACCCACAAGGAAATGGGGCCTGAGCCCTATTTTAAATGAGATCAGTAGCTCCTGCTCCTGCTTATTGAAAAGTATTTATTTTGAGTTAAAGACAATTTCTTATACTCCCTGTCATCATAAGAACCTCTACTAGGAAGAGATTAAAGTCTTGGCATCCTGAGAGAGTTGTTTGACATTTATCCTACCAGTAAACAGATTCAATAATACTAATTTCCTTTAGTAAAGGTTTTTTGAGGATTTGTTGTTTTTTTATATTCCTTAAGTAACTGTCTTAATCCCTGTAAGACAGTCATAAGGAAAGCTATTTATTTACTTTTTTAGGGTTTTTTAAGACAGGAGCTCACTATGTATTTCAAGCTGGCCTTGAACTCACTAGGTAGCCCAGGCTGGCCTTGAACTTGCAGGGATACTCCTGCCTCAGCCTCCAGAGTGCTGGGTTTGTAAGCACACGCTACCACGCCCAGCTGGAAACCTCTATTTTCTCATCTTAATCAGATATGAGATTTTAAGAGTTTTGCAAAGTTATTTTCCCCCAATCACTATTCATTTTGATCACTACCCCAGGGAAAGGAGAGGAGAAACCTTAAATGCACAGCAAGAGGTCATCAAATATTTACTCATTGGTGAGCTCCAAGTGTCTTCATGTTACTTGATACTAATGTCACCTACCAGGGAGTAAAAAAGCCTTGGAAATCCAGGCACTTATTTTCTCTATCCCCTTCTCATTCCTTTTATTGATTTCTTTAGATATTTGCTCAGTTATCTTTCATAAAATAATTTCAAGGAATGAGAATAGATCACTAAATTCAGTTCATGCCTTTGTGGGTTTTACAGTTAGTTTGGTGTGAGAGGCAGAAAAACAAAGCCACAGACCAGTTTATGTAGGCATTTGTAGTTGCTAAAAATATTTGGAATTTTATTCTAACTATAATAGGATGTTGGGTGGTTCAGAAAAGAGAATGACATGATCTGAGTTGTCTCTTAAAAACCTTAGCCTGCTGGGTGGAGATTAGCTGATAATGGTGAGGGTTTACTAAAGTAAGATCAAGAAGAGAGAGAGATTGGTGGTTTAGCAGTGCTGGTGAACATGAATATACATATATGCATGGATAAGCAATGCAAAATCTCCTTCTCTTGGCCTCTCGCCTAATTTCTTTATCTAGAGTCTGTCAAAAATAGCATTTGTACCTCTTTCCAGAAATACTTTATTGATCCATTTTTTTAAAAAAAATTATATGCTAAAACTTTTAAAATAATGCTTCAAATAGTCATTTTTTTAAAATATTACCAATAGTCACTGTTCTCTTTAATTCATGTAAAAACTATTTCTAAAGAAAGAGCAAGACTGAGCATCTGTTTTAATACTGACTTGTAGGGGTGGCAGCCATCTGGCAGCAGTCATATCTGTTAGGTTTTTCTTAAGAAATGTAGGTATTTATTTAACAAAATTCTTGTTCCTTCTTTGTCTTCACAGCCGATCTCGCATCTTTAATGGACAAAACATATGAGAGAAAGTTGCCTGTTAGTTCTTTAACAATGTCACGGGTAAGAACATTTCAACATACAGTATATATTTTTTCAAAGGAGGAGGAGAAATAGAGCAAGAAAAAGACTTTAAGCAGATGAGGAGGAGGAGAAATAAAGCAAGAAAAACACTTTAAGAATACCCTTCGTAGGAAATGTTGTTCCGTAGTGTAATGTGTTTTTGTAGTTACTAATATATACTTTATTATATAGTTGCAAATTTTTTTGGCTGAAATGAAAGATAATAAATTTACCAGACTCTGATAGTGGTAATCACTGTCATGTATCAAATTTATTTTAATCTTCTCAAGATATACTATTTCACTTTATGATACCCATGATTTTTTTAAGTTGATACATCCTTCAGCATACTAATATTTTCTTGCTAGCACTGGAAGTGTTTTTGGTAGCTGAAAATAGATCTTAATGTTCTACTGCTGCAAGGCAGTAGATAGAAGAATAATGCTGGACTGGAAGTCAGAAATAGTAATCAAGAGAAATTTACCGAATACCTGTGCCACGTATTGTACTAGATTCATAACATATACTATTTCTTTTTAATTTTCACAGCAGTCATATGAGATAAACATATTTTTTTTAAATATAGAATGATTTAATAACTTTCGCAAGTTCACACGGCTTATAAGTGGAGAAGCAGGGATACAAACACTATGAAAGCAATGTGCTCTTCCATTGCCTCCCTCGAATACACGGCCTTGTCTAGATCATGAATTCACTCTGTGATACAGGACAACAGGATCCCTCTCACTTTCCCCATTTCCTCTGAGGAGAGTACTATCTCCCTGGGAGGGGTGATGTGATGCTAAAGTGAGATCTCTTGGAAGCTTTTTTGTAGAAATTAATGGCACCATAAAATTCAAAGGTTTATTCAGTGCAGAAAAGGAAAAGGAAAAAAGTGATCTTCTTTGCAGTCCTGGCCCTTTCTCTTGTCATTCATTCCTCTTCTTTTAGTAGCAAAGCAGTTCACCTGATGAGAACTGAAGGTTTTTGGACTCATGATTGGCATACTGGAGGAGAACTGAAAGACCAGCAGTTCACCCCTTACATGATGAGTGAAACCTCTGGTGGCTGTAACACCTGACAGTCGTTTAAATGTGCTTCAAGGTTTAAGGAGCTTTCCGATTTCTCACTGTAGCCGGGTGCTCTGGAGGGCAAGAGCCTTGCTCTTGGTTACGCAGATGGAGCAGCTAAGTCCCAGAGGGGCCGGACCATCTGTTCATGCCACACGGCAGGCTACCGGGAGGGCTGCTCCGCAAGCTCCCGCTTGTGTCTGCACTGCATTTGGATTCTAAATCTGCCCTCATTGGATTTCTGAATCACACCCACAAGTCCCAGTTATTTTTAGAAAGTCTCCTTCTTTTTACTCTTTTTGCCCTCTTCATGAGGTTTTAATGATACAACCTATGTTACCCCCTTTTCCATCTTTTTTGCCTCAGTCTCTACTTAAGGGTGGAGGCCATCCTTGAAATAATTTTTTCTGTTCATTGATTTGGACTGTAGTTACAGAGCATACTCAGAGATTCTGTGGTTTGAAGGGAGATTTTATAAAAAGAGAAATTGTACATTCACTGATTCCCTGCAGAACTTAAATCAGAGTAGGAAAAGCAGTTACAAGCTGAGTTCTCTAAATGTAGGTTTCTGTGTTCTGGGGAATATTTTTTCAGCCATTAGAGTTTTTATGCTGTCAGCATGTGTTCCCATGTATTTGGAGCTTGGGGCATAGAGGAAAGATTAAGACTCAACCTGGAAAGTGATGACTTGTTACAAATATGGTTGGAGGGGATCATTCTTGCCCTGAGCAAGGTTCATATTGGGCTTTCAATCACATTTTCTGTACACGTAAAGAAAGAGAAGCCATTGTGTATTTTTTGTCTGCATTAGTGTAAAGCGATTTCAAGGGCAGAGCCATACCACATGAACACTGTCCCAGTAAAATGGGTGTCCTATTTTAAGGCCAGTGTGTGTGAACTAGGCCAAATACATGGTATAACTTGTAGTCAGTCTAACAATTTCATTTATCTCTTTAGTTCGTGGACAATATTTCATCTCGAGAAGAAATAGACCATGCAGAATATTACCTTTACAAGTGAGTATTCCTTTCTAATTGGCTGTGTATTTTCTTTATACTCTCTTTTTACAGTTTGTGTTTTGATTGAGGTTTTTTTGGGGGTTGGGGGGTTCATGCTGGGGAATTAACTCAAGGATTTGTGTGTGCTAAGCATGCATCCTTTTTTTTTAAAGAGGGAAAAAACCCTAAAAAACAAATTTCAAAACAAGATGATAGGAGAGTAACAATAGTTAATACATTGCTTATTGTTATCTTTAAATTATACAATATATCGGCATTTGCTTTTCCAAACAATATTAGCACAAAGGTTTCTTTTTAATCAACTTAAGAGAAATTAGTAGTATAGGGCTGGGGATTTAGCTCAGCGGCACAGCGCCTGCCTGGCAAGCACAAGGTCATGAGTTTAATTCCTGGTACTGGCGGAGGAGGGGTGGAACTTTTAAAAGAAATTAGTAGTATAACTATCTTAACTGTCTTTTATTTATATATATATATATATTTTTTTTTCTTTTCCCTTCCTTCTTTTCCCCTTTCCGCCATCCCAGTTTCTCTTTCCTTTTGAAGTTTCTTCCCATTTTACAATATCTATTGTACATTTTGGATCTTATTTACTCTTTTAGCTTCTCACACTAGGGAGCCAATACAGTGTTTACACATGTAAGTCTGATTTATTTCCCTAATGAGTGTGGTCTCAAGTTGCATCCATTTACCTGTAAATCTCCAGTATATCCTTTATAGCTGAGTAATACTCCATTATATAAAAGGACCACATCTTTTTTATCCATTCCTCGGTTGATGGGCATTTGGGTTGTTTCCCAGATCTAGCTATTACAGATTGTGCTGCTATAAACATGGATGCACATATATCAGTATGGTAGATATTTTTAATTCTTCTAGGAAGATACCTAGAAGGAGAATAGCTTGGTCAAATGGGACCTCCAATCCTAATTTTCTGAGGAATCTCCACACTGATTTCCACAGTGGTTGCACTAGGCTACCCTCCCACCAACAGTTGAAAAGGGTTTCTTTTTCCCACAGCCCCTCCAGCATTTGTTATTGGTTGATTTCTTGATGATAGCCATTCTTTCTGGGGTGAGAGGGAATCTCAGTGTTGTTTTAATTTGCATCTCTCAAATGGCCAGTGATGTTGAACATTTTTTCATATATTTATTTGCTGTTTGTATTTCTTCATCTGAGAAGTGTGTATTCATCTCAGATGCCCATTTTTGGACTGGGTCTTTAAATTTGAGAGGTCTGGTATTTTTGAGTTCTTTATATGTTCTCAATAGTAATCCTCTGTCTGAGGAATAGATGGCAAACGTTTTCCCCACCTTGTCTCTTCCCTGTGTTGTCTCTTCCCTCTTCCCTGGTTTCTCTTGCTGTGCAAAAGCTTTTTAATAAGATGAGGTCCCAGTTGTTGATTTTTTATGATAGTTCCTGTGCAATTGGGGTTTTATTCATAAAGTCTTTGCTACACCAATGTCTTCAAGAATTTTACCTATTCTATATTCTAGCAGATTTAATATTTCTGTTTTAATATTTAGATCTTTGATCCATTTTGAATTTAATTTAGTGCATGGTGAAAGATATGGATCCAGTTTTAATCTTCGGCATGTTCAGAGCCATTTTCTAGTACAGTTTATTAAGTGTGGTCTCACTTTCTTCCAGTGAATGTGTTCCGCCCCTTCGTCAAAGATAAGGTGGCTGAATATATCTGGAGTTGTTTGTGCATCTTCTAGTCTGTTCCATTGATCTTTGGGTCAGGTGTTTTGTTTTTGGTTTTTAGTTTTTTGGGTTTTTTTTTTTTTTTGCCAGTACCATCCTGTTGTTATCACTGTAGCTTTATAGTATAATTTGAAGTCAGGAACTGTGATGCCCCCTGCCTTGCCTTTGTTGCCCAGAATTGCTTTTGCTATTCTAGGTCTCTTCTGGTTCCAAGTGAATTTTAGGATTGTTTTTTCTAATTCTGTGAGATATGCTACTGGAATTTAAGCATGCATTCTGCCTCTGAGCTACATACCCAGCCTCATACCCCTTTCTAACAGAAGGGGCAGTAGATATTACATATTATATGTATTGTTTGACAACTTGCTTTTTAAGTTTATATTTTAGCAACCTTTCATTATCAGTACAGGGCTTTCTCATGTTTTATAACTGCATTATATTTATGCTTAAAATATATTATTTAAATCAGTTTTCTGTTAAAGGGTTTTTATATTATATACATAGTGCTTTATCAACAACCTTGAAGATACCTAATTTTGCACATAATTCTCTTGAGTGTATACATTTATAATTTCAATAGTTATTACTTTCCAAATTACTTTCCATGAGGTTTTACCAGTTTACATTCTTAACAGCAGTGTATGAGAGAGGCCTCTTTTTACAACTTGGCCAACACACAGGTGTTTTCACATTTGGATATTTTTACTAGTCTGATAGAAAATTTTTCTTCACTTGTTTTTGAATTTGTTTGGGGGTTTATTTTGTTTTGTTTTGTTTTGTTTTGTTTTTTAAGGCAGGGTCTTACTATGTAGTACAAGCTGGTCTTGAACTCACTTATGTAGCTCAGGCTGGCCCCGAATTCACAGTAACCCTCCTGCCTCAGCCTCCTGAGTGCTGAGATTATAGGTGTGCGCCACCACACCCAGCAAAAATTTTTTTTCATATGCACAGATTGTCCTTTATCTGAAATGCTTAGGATCAGAGATGTTTCAAATCGGAGATGTTTCAAATTTCAGAGATTTTAGAATATTTGCATAGAGTTTACTGATTGAGGAGTCCTTAATCTGAATATTCAAATCCAAAATGGTCCAAAACCCAAAACTTTGAGTATCATGTCAGTGCTCAAAAAGTTTTAGATTTTAGTAAAGCATTTCAGATTTCTGATTTTTCAAATTAAGAATCCTCAACCTGTATGTATCTTTTCTCCCTTTTTTCTCAAGATGAAAATACACTGTATATGAACTATTCATCACATATTTTCATTGAACACTATGTTTTAGAATATAGTAAATTTAGTACTTTATTTTTTCTCAGAGTTTCAGACAGTATCATTGTGAACTATAGACATACTTGTCCATATGTAAGCAGATGTATGTCTAGTACTTTATTAAGTATAGTGGCATTAAGACTAGAATAACCTAATTCTCATTAAATAAAGGGCTGAGCAAATACATTATGACTCATCCATTTAGATGATTTTTTACCTATTACATACCTGTCAGAACAATACCTTACAGCACAATTTTTATTGTGATTCCTATTTGCAAAATCTGATTTATGATTTATTCCAATTTCTGGATTCTAAAAGTATAGCCATTAAAATTTAAAATGTTACCAGTAAGCTTCCCATTTGATTTTGCTTTGTTTTGATGAAAAAATTCTAGGTATTCCATCGAGGTGCATTTTTTTTTTTTTTTTTTTTAAGAGTAGGAAAATTTACTGAGGAAAGGCATGGGGAATAGGAATAACTCCTGAGAGACAGGAGGGGTCCCACATGAGTTGCCATCGAGCCCACTTCTCTGAGAAAGTTTTATAGAGCACAGTCATGAGGGGTGAGTTCAACATGGGTCAAAACTATTATCATCCAATAAGATTACAAGTATGGTGGTTTAGGTAGCATTGATCCAATGGTAAAAGGGGATATGGATGACATCTTTAACCCTGGCCAATAATCTGTAGTCATAGTGTTGGTCTTAGTTTTAGTAATCTTGTCTTAGTAGCCTTAGTCTTAGTCTTAATTGGTGGAAGAAGATGGCCCACCCCAATGGAATAATGTTTTATTCATACGGAAAATCTCAAAAGGGTGGTACCAATAATCTGGCCATTGTGATTTTAATCTTCTTCTAATACACCTCCAGCCACAGTTTTGATGTGTTCTTATCTTCTGCACTGACTCCCTGCAAGGGCTCAGCCTGGTCTGACTGCCTGCAAGGGTTCTACCTGACTTGGCTGTCTATATCATTCTCCCCTCTAAAGAGGTACCGCTAACTTCAGCTAGTGGAAAAGAGGCAGTTTCCGTCTAGCTGTTTCGAACTGAGAAGGGTCCATGTTGGGGAAACAAAAGCACAGTCAGGGGCCTTCTCCAGAGAGCAAATCTGATGGGCTCTGGCTAGAAGTCACTCCCCAGTTTCACAGTTCTAGGTTTGTTTTTAAAAGTGTACTCTATTTCATTGAAAATTTATTCAGTTTTCTTTTATTTGATTTTGCTAAATGGAAATGAAGCTGCTATTTTCTAAAGTGGACTGATTTTACTACATTTTTGGTGTTTTCTATTTAAATGTAAATCTCAAATAGACTAGGTTCCACCCCTTAAAAACCACTTATTTTCAAATCTAAGATTGCCTTTAGCAATATCCTAAGTTTAAATTCTGATAACTACAATCATAAGTGCAAATATCCTCTTATCCTTCATTAAGGTAAACATACCCACACCCTTCAGTGGGAAGCCCACCTCCCGTGAGTGGCTCTTAGGAACTCTGGGACTGCCTTGTTGGTTATTTTTGTGCAAGGTGATAGGTATGTTTGGCTGGCATCTGGCAGTTCTCTCCCTCCTTCCTTCCCTCTTTCTCTCCCTCCCTTCCTCTCTCTCTCTCTCTCATTGTTTTTTTTTTTTTTTTTACTTTGCCCATGGCAAAATGCAGAAGATAGTTCCAATTTCCAAATGGAAACAATTTCCTACAAGTCCATCCTGTGAGACACAGAAATATGTCCCAAATTTATACATATTTCTATAACAGATCATTGACTTTAGTGGTTCAGATTCAGTGTTTACTGAGCACTTACTTTGTGCCCTGTCCCTGTTCAAGGCACTGGGCATATAGCAATAAATCAGCCACTGTCTGGGTCCTTATGCCATCAAGTATTATTTCAAAACCTTCCATGATTAATTCTTCACCTGATGTCCAGTTTGTGTGCTCTGGAGTCTTCTGAGTACCATAAAATTGCTCTTTCCTGTTTCCATGTAGATTATATAGAGAAGTCTTGTCCATCAGAAATCTGAGCCACTGTTTGAT